AAAAAAAAAAAAAAAAAAAAAAACTTTAATGCATCGTTACTCGAAGAAACGTTTTCATCGTGTGTTGTAGGATCGACTTTATAAAAATTATTCGGTTTGGTTAGTTAAAACATTTTTAATAAGTGTGTTAATTGTAATAAGTTGTAATAAGTAACGGGGGTACTTCATTCAGCTTCTTATGCATAAAATTGGCAAACACTCTTCCGCCACAATCAGTTGCTTACACCAAAGTTTTTGTTAGTAAAATTTTGATACCCACACACTTAACGGTAAAAGTGAGTTTTGGTTTTCATTTCGGATAAGGGTGACGCTACGAGTCTCGTGTTGTTGTCTCTTTGTTGCCCCTGACAAAGAAACTTGTTCTGAGATGGTTTAGAGCTGGTAATCAGCTACGAGACTGAGATTTTTATAAAAAGAGAATCATGCTAATTTTTTTTCAAATTTTTTTCTTATGTTATTATTATGTTTTTTTTTTGTGGAAGCATCAACGCACACAGATATAAGTCGCTTTATAAATATATGCCACACATTGAAAGGTTAATACGAATGCCTAAAAATCCTTCTTTAAGCATATGATTAAATGTTAAAAATAACATCGGAGGAATAAGACAGATTATCAATATATATTTTTATCTGTAAAATTTGTAAAGCCACGACGAATGCAATAAAACAAATGTTACTTATTATATTATAAGGAATGCTTGACGTTACTAGATGAATAAATCGTTGAATCATTGATAATTTGTCGACAATTCTATTGCAGACGAAGAGCATGAACTTTTGTACTTGTATTACAAATTAACAAGCGCACCCACGAGCATTCCCATTTAATAATAATTATTAAAATTGTAAAATATAAAAACTTTAGATCTAGGTGCATTGTTATTTTGTCGTTTTTTCTCCTTCAATTATTTATTGAATGTACTATTTATTCATAATTATTAATGTTTAGTGCTATTTGAACAATGCACGTGTATCGCTCTTTATCTTCATTCGTGTAGTACAATATATGAAGTAATTGTACAATTTGTTGTTGTAAAATGAAATAATAATTGAATTGATTTAGAAATTACAGTTAAGATAAAGTTTTAATGGCATTGTAACAAGTGCGAACCCACGATAACCGAGTAATTTTAAATCGCATTAAAGATACATTAGCGAATTTTACTTTTATTTAGAAATTTATTTTTCCCAGGCTGGAGACGAAGTTTCAAATGCTTCGCTCTCGAAATTAAAATAATCATACATCAATACCTTCAATTTTCTAACTTGTTTAAAAGATATTGTAGAAATTTGCTTTATCGGCAATAGCTTCGAGTCGGATAAAATGTCCAGATTACGCGTGTTCGGAAATGTTATCTTATGCATCTTAAGTTTGTTGTTATAAAACAAACGGTGCACTTTTATGTGAAAGCAAAGTACACGTTCGAGAAAAATTCTAAACATCCCCAAAATATTACAGGTGAACGTACAACAGATGCCTATGAGACGATCTTTAATAATAATAATAATAATAATAATAATAATAATAATAATAATAATAATAATAATAATAATAATAATAATAACAATAATGACAGTAATAATAATAATAAAACACAGTTTTTTTTTAAATAGAAGTCTTTAATAATATTTAATAACTTTTTAATAATGTTTCAACTATTAGCTTTGTGATTGTTAAAACTTTTTTAAAAAGCAGCTTGGCCGCAACAGTGCTGGAGCATTCTCATTAAGGCAAAATTTAAGTAATATTGACGATTAGATGTTGATATTAGTGTTGAAAAAGCGAATGTAGCCACTTGAAATTTTATCTCACCAGAAGCAAAATTTTTTCATAAATCAGTACCATAAACGTCACGATGGTATCAATTAAGACTAACAACTTATTTAACTTTATGGGGTATAAATTTACATGTAAAGAAATGAATGTACATAAAAATGTCATTTATATATGGCGCTTGCCTGTAAATAAAATCCCTTTTATGAGCAAACTTTTAATAAGCGATTGCCCCCGGTAAAATTGTTTAGTAAATACTTAAGATTTTGATTTTTACGAGTGACAAGTTCATAATACGTAGTATTTTATGCGCTTTTCAATAATTGACTATTCATTATGAGCCAAAAATTTATTTGCAACAAACGATTGACTGTTAAAGCAATTCAGCTTTATGCAACCGGTCAATTATTCGATAATACCAAGGTTTGCGTTATAAACCTATAAAAAAAAAAAAAAAAAAAAAAAAAAAAATAAAAAAAACAGCAATCATCGTTACAATGCTAGTAACAAGCATAAAATCACTATTACTATTACATTACCAGATTATGCACTTGGTCCCTCGTACTCAGGATTTTAATATCCCATTATGAGGCGGAGCTTTAACCGACTTATCAATTTTTAATTTAAAAACTTAATGATTTTTTAAATATTGACGTTCGCTCGAGAGAGTAACTTTTGCCATTAAGTTCGAATAAATAAGGCCACGCGCGTGGACTTAGACAACATGAATTTTTTCACCAAAACGCCGATTTGCAATTTTCATTTTCCTTTTAATAAAGCCTCGGCGCTATACAATTACGTTTATCTCGATGCTCGAGCACTATTCATCTATCACTTACCCCGGACCTTTTCAATTCAACGAGACAAACATGCACTATCCAAGATGCCAATTTAATAAAGGGCATACTTGGCATATTGTGCAAATTAAACGTGAAGAAGGCATTTTTAAAAGAAACGAGCCATGTTCTTCAAATTTTGGAAAAGATCCAAATTTCCAACAGAACAACCTAAGCAGCTAAGTAACCGTTGCGAATTCTTTTCCCCTCGTTCCTTCCTCTTCACTACCCACTCCGACTTTTTTCATCTCAAAGCCAACGTTAAGTCATTCACATTATTATTATAGCCGTTATCGGAATCACACGTTATATTGTCATTTCATTTTTTCCAAATCAATTTTTCCAAACTTACCATTAGCACCCTGGACTACCTCATCACTTTCATACGACTCATTCCTCGATCCCATTAAACGTCTCAACAATTAATCTCGCGACATCTAAATTTACAATTGACCCTCGCGTCTATTAAATTACGAATTAGCTTGGAAAATCGTCTTCTAGGCCGGCTACTCAAGTCCCCACACAAATCCCAACGATTAACCAAACCTCCTTGCACCCCATAGGTTAAATCTACCAAATATCCACGCGATTTATCGTCCCTCAAAACATCTCACACAACGTCAAATGCAAATACCGATTACGACCTCACTGATTTATAGGACAAATTTTCCATTATCCCAGCTTGGCGCTACTCAACGATAACCCCTTCTCATCCACGACGACTTATTCCACGTTTTTACACACGCACGACGACTTATACCACCATACAAAGGACAGTCAGTTATTTTTTAACGGCGCACAATCATCCCATTGAAACAATTACTCAATCTCGAGATTCTCGTCACTTTCCTCGCGACGGTCGTACGTAAGACTTAACCTGCGGACAATCAATAATACGATTATGATAATTTTCATAGAGCGTGTCCAGGGCCAGGGGCGAGGCCCCACGACCCGTCTCGACCAAATACACGGTTAATCAAACGCTCGTTGCCACTTCACCCTCCCCCTCCAGGCCCTAATCTAAACAAAACTCCCCATGGCAGAAGCGTTGGAAGCAGCGGCTCATAGAGGCGGCCATACGAGGAGGACTATGTCGTTAAAGCGACGGGAACTTGGACCACGACTTGTGGTATCCCCGGTATCTTCCCCATCACTGTTAACATGGAATTGTTCACCCCGCGGGACCAGGTTGGACGACAAGCGAACGAAGGTGAGGCGAGGCGAGGCGAGCTGATTAAGGAGAGGTAAGCCGAGGTGAGCCGAGTTAAGGAGAGGTAAGGCGCGACAGGCGAGACGAGGCGAGGAGCTCAAGAGGCAGCCTCGTGAAGCGAGTTGCTGCTGCTGCTGCTGCTACGAGCGCGAGGTCGCGAACGTAGGTGCGGCTCTGGCATCGGGAGTGCGGTTGAGCTCCGGGGACGGGGTGGGACGACACCGGGCAGGCGTCGTGAGTGCCGCTGGCTCGGCGTTCGGCGCTCCTCCTCGTCCTTGGTGGCGGCTCGGCGGCGGCCTCCCGGAGGCCCCGACTGGCGCCATCTCCCGGTGCGCCCGGGCCGGGCATGTGCGTGGCCGAGCATGGCCGAAGATGGCGGCGCCCGGTGGGCCGCGCGCACCACCCGATTGGCCGACGCTCGTCGGCGGCGGTGGCGGCGGCTCCGGCCCGCTCTCGCCGGCCGCCCCGGAGCGTCGTCTCGGCACGGGCGCAGCTACGCGCGCCGCCACTACGTCGGGCCGCGCACTCGGGCGCACTCTCGAGCCTCCCCGCGGCCGGACCGCTCGACGCGCTCGCGCAGAGCCTCCGGGGCGACGGCCGCCGCGCGAACAAGAGAGACTCGTCGCGGAGGACGCGCCAGTGTGCGACGACGCCAGGAGGAGAGAAAGCCGCGGTCGCGCGAAGCGGTTACGAGGTTCGCAGCGGCGAGCGCGAGACAAGGAGGGACCGAGCGAGAGCGAGGAACGACAGGGTGGTAGATACGAGCGACGAGGAGGAGGAGGAGGAGGAGGACGACGACGACGACGACGACGACGACGACGCGGAGGTGGAGGCAGAAGGCAGGAGGCTGAAGCCAGGGACGAGGAGGAGGAGGCTGCGGGGGGAGGGAGGGCGCAGCCGAGGAAGCAGGACGGAGCGAGGCGCACCGTCTGTCCGTTCGTCTTTTTCTCTCGACCCCGCGGCTCCTCGCTGGCGGGGCCGTGGACGAGTCGGCCAGCGCGCCACGACGACGACGGCGAGGACGGCGAGGACGGCAAAGACAGCAAGAACAGCGGCGGCGGCGGCGGCGGCGGCGGCGGCGGCGGCAGAGACGACGACGACGACCACAACCACGATTACGACGACGACAACGACAGCGGCGGCGGCGGCGGCTACGACGACGACGACGACGACGACAACGGCGACGACGACAACAACGACAACGACGTCGACGACACCGACGTCGACAATAAGCAGTGCCAGTAGCGCAATGGAGCAACGCGAAAGGTTCGAGGAGCTCTGCAGGCTTTGCGCCTCCTATGACGCCGTCAAGATGGACATCTTCGGCCAGGAAGGCAAGAACCGCCAACTCGTCGACAAGATACGGACTTGCCTGCCCTTCAAGGTACGTACACCATATCACCACATTAATTTCATATTCCCTCGTACTTCAGTACGTAAGACAGCACCACACGCACACAAACATCATACGCGAATACACGCGCGCACACGCCTGCGCGCGCGCGCGCCTGCACACACAAGCGCACAAGCACACAGAGAGACAGGAACACAGGCACGCACACGAGGAAGCGCGCACGCGCCCTCTCGCACTTCAGCCTCTTTGTTTCTTGAGTTGCGACGCTTTCGGGGACGGCGTGCGCGGCGAACCCGAGACCGACGGTACCGCCATTAGAGGCGTCCAGGCTCTCTCCATGCCGTACATTGCCAACGCGTTTCCGTCCCTCGCCCGGTCGAGTTTCTTTTCCTCTCCCTCTATTACTCTCGACACTCCTCTAATACTCTCCCGTATTTTTCTCTACTTGCCTTTCGCTCTCTTGCACTCCTCGTCATCTATTACAACTACCATCTCCTCTTGCCTTCTCTTCTCTCGTTCTTTTATACGCACACGTTCACTCACTCTCTCACTCACTCACTTATTCACGAGCTAGTCTTGCATCTCACTCCGCTTCTTGAAATTGTTTCTCCGCGGTCTTACAGAGTCGTCTGCTAGCTTTCAAATATGCAACGAATAATTAGATTTCAACGTATTAGTTCACTTCCCGCCAATGGGCCCGGCACCATCGGCTTCCGTTTCATTGCCGCTACCCTTTTATTTACCTTGCCCCGCTGCTCTCGTTTAACCTTCTAGGGCAGAATTTATCCGTACCTGTGAAACGGACATAAAAATTGCCAAGGTTGCGCGGAGCCTTTTATCCTTGTCCTCGTAGTAGTCGTCGTAGTCGTCGTCGTAGTCGTCGTCGTCGTCGTCGTCGTCGTCGTCGTCGTCGTCGTCGTCGTCGTTGTCGTCGTTCGTGGCGGTGGCGGTGGCGGTGGCGGTGGCAGCAGCGATTTTATCGGGTCCGTGTAAGCTGGCGCTCAACCGAGAGTTTACGCGAACGGTACTCGAAGACCCCCTCCTCGGACGGCCAACTCCGCCCACCGCTCGTCCTCCGTAGGAAAATTTTCTCGGCTTTCGCCAGGCCCGGATGTGTCGGCGCGCCTACGCCGCCGACTCTTTGCTCATATTTTTCCGGCTTTTCGCATCGCTTTATTTCCGTATGATAGATAAGTTAGTTGTTTTTTTTTTTTTTTTTTTTTTTTTTTTTTTTTTTTTTTTTTTTTTTTTTTGAGGTTAGGGCGGCCAGTCACGAGACGCTGGCGACCAAAATTTATCGCTCACCGAAACGACGTGCAATCTTTTATAAGCTTTCTTTGCATGGCTGGCGTCGGCCGGCCATTTCTTATTCGATTGTCCTCCTGCCTTGCGGGGGAAATCATGTAATATTTTGTTGTAAATATCGGCGTTGCCGGGCGGCTTTACGGGCTGCGTATCTACATGCCACCGCTCTACCGAGACTGAAATAGTGCCAGTGGTGTAAGGATACGATAATTAGCGTGGGATGGTTAACCGGTGCAAAGGTAACGATATATTCGAAACTTTCGGTTTCAAGATGACTCTGCTCGGTGCGAGATCCGAAATTATTGTGATGTTTATTGGCGTTGCTCGATTACAGCAAGCGCCCGTTATATGCCGTCGCATTATTTTCAATTCAATAATTATAACCCCAACTTATTCCAGGAAAATATACTTAAATACACATCATGCGACCCGGCCGTGTTTTAAATATTCGCTTTTATTTTATACAAACTCGAAATCTCGTTTTAAGTTGTAACTGTCGTCATTATTTTCATCATATTATATCTAAAATTTTAATTTCGTGTCTCGTAGGTACGGATACCTGAATACGCATGTTTTAATTCAGCTGGGGAAAGAAATTTGTAGGGCCGCAACAAAATAACACTACTCGTTCGGCAAACAAATAATCAAATGCTAAAGTGTACGGGTCACAATTCTCATTTAAAATCCTTTCCTCGATATAAAGAATTCGACTCCGGGTGTTATTTAAAGCTCGATAAGACGGTTTTTTTTATTTCAAAAAGAAAAAACAAAATGATACTCGCTCTCAAAATCAATAAAATGAATTTGATTGGGGAAGCTTAGGCCTAAGTTGTCATCAAAGTTTTCTTTCCATTCTCTCTCTCTCTCTCTCTCTCTCTCTCTCTCTCTCTCTCTCTCTACATTATCAGAAGGCCCGTTTTAACGGAACGGCGTCGTTTGGTTAATTTGCAATTCACCAGCCCGTTACGTGGAAATATAAAATTCTCGTGCGCTTAAGAAAGGAAGCTCGATATGGTGTGGCATTGGGAAAAAGTAGATTGTCGGTAACCTCTCGAAATGCGACATGACACGTCGTCGTCGCGCATCAAATTGGATGCGCGCACGTAACCAGTTTTCGCCGGAGTAAAAGCGAGGAGCGAGATGGAAAGTCGTGGCAAAAAAAACAAAAAAACAAAAAATAAATAAATAAGAGAACGAAAGAAAGACAGGCCGACAGACAGACAGACAGACAAACGGATAAGTAGCAAGAGCGGCAGGCAGGCAGGCAGTCAGGCGTGCGTATCGGCTCCGCGAACGCTTCCCAAAAGGTTGCAGCGGTGGGGCCTTCCGGGAACGGGTCCCATTAGCCTACCCGGCGCATCACAAAGACATGGCGGAGGTGGTTGAGGAGGAAAAGGAGGAGCTGGAGGCCTAAGTATGCCGATACCTGGTTCCTCTTACCGCGACCTCTCCCACCCCGTACGGGGCGCTCGCATCGGTGGGGAGGAGGTCCGCCGAGGGGAGAGGTAATGCGGGGCCCTTCCATGATTTGTCCGCGGTGGCCCAGGTACGAGGGGAGCTCGAGGGGTGCGTTAGCCCCGAACGACGCCGAGGCCGACCGACCTCGGCCGAGGAAGGAAATTTCGGCGCGTCTCTTGGCTCTTCAACTTAACGAATCTCCCTCCCTCTTCAGTGGTCATATTTTCAAATCGGCTTTCAGCGACCAACGTCTGTCCGATCCCGCGTCCACACGCCCGTTACCGTTGAACCTGGGGTAAAAATTTGCACTACCGATGTTACCATGACCGAAGGAAGGTCGCGACGCTCCTGTTCTTATTAACTGTCCCGCGCTCCCTTTATCGAGAATATATACGCCCGGTGCTCGACAACAATGCTTCGCAAAGGGGGGCGGAGAGGAACAACACAGGCTCATCGGCTGTTCCAAGAATTCCCGGTTTTCCATTGTCGGTACGTGGTCATACCGACCGTATGGTTCACACGTGTGGCTTGCAAATTCTAACAAATTCGCATAAATATGAGAAATCGATGCCATTAAAATGGATCCCTTTGGTAATCGGTCGATGCTCTAAGTAAGTAACGGCATCTCTTGTATTATTGCACCCTTGACGTCATCCATGCTATTCGAATCGCAGGACGAAGAAGGAAAGAAAAATTTTATCTCACCCCGATTGACACCGACGCCGCTCTTGCTGCGCTTCTCCTCGGTAATAAACCGACGATCTATGGTCCCGAGGAAATAATACGAAACGATCCACTATTCGTCAAAGCAAATGCATATAATAATTCTGCCTCCTTGCCAACACGACTCATTATCTCCGTATCGAGACGTGTCCGGGCGCCGCCGTTTCTCCTGTCGTCATTGAGACTTCGAGCGTTGCGATTTTGTATAAATGTTGCCCTGTGCGTTAAATGTGCGCGCACTGTACATCCAGGAATTCCATCAGTTGTCTTTTTCTCTAAGCACCCCCCCCTCCCCCTCTCCACCCCTCGTTGTCCCTTGTCAATCTTACTTGCAAAACACGATCGAACTATTTAATCCCTTATATGATTATCCATCGTTTCGTTATTAATAACCACTGTTATCGCTTACGATGATATGTAAATCCAAGCGATTGAGAATAGTAGGCCAAATAAACGGGAGAAGCTATAAATTCTCCTGGCTTACAGTGGCCACGCATACTGTAATTGTTTAATGAAGTTCAATTAAAATATCGGGGAAATTTAGATAAAAAATTAATGAACGGGCAGTTACGATATTTTTATCGACGTTACTGAGACGTTGTTCACCGCTGCCTGATTTAAGGATCATTCTTTGCCGGATATATCGTACTTGAAAAGTCCAGCCGTAAGTGTGCTTATATGTGTGTGTGTGTGTGTGTGTGTGTGTGTGTGTGTGTGTGTGTGTGTGTGTGTGTGTGTGTGTGTGTGTGTGTGTGTGTGTGTGTATGTGTATGTATATGCATGTCCATCCTTTGCATCTTTTGCGTCGTAAATCCCCAAAAGTGGACCGTTGAACCGAAGCCCATGGTCGAGGATACGGTTTTCGTGACCACATATTTACCCTTCCAAAAATCTCGGCCAGATCTCCGTTCCAGCCCGCATTCCAAGCAGGCTGGCTTCACAGAACAGCCGTCGAGGATGGTCCTGAAAAGCCAAAGCAGCGCCCCTGTTCGAGCAGGGCATATACTGTTAGTCCGGAGTCGATGGGATGGGGGAATGTGCGCGCGAAGATTCGTCGAGAGTATGGATGAAGTGGTGGGCGACTATTAGGTTCGAATACAATGACGCGGACTATGTCAACGACGACGAAGACGACGACGACGGTGGAGGCGGAGACGGCAGCGACGTCGGCAACAACAAGATGGTCGTCGTGGAATGAAACGAAAACCGATCCTTCGCCAGCTGCGCGCACACCCACTGCGAGTCCTTGAAAAATCTTTCCCGGACGTGTGGGCAGTCGCGAGTTAACCTTAAACATCTTCCTTCTTTTTTTTATCGGACTTTAAAAGCGCGCTCTGCTTTTATTCTCTACCATACGGGCGATTCAATCGACAATATCCTCGACGCTTACCGTTGGATGTCCTTTACCAGGGACCTTAGCAATCTAATACACGGTTGCATGCTTTATTAGGAGCTTCCGAGGAATTTAACACGACCCGTACCAGGCATTTAGTTACTTTTTCTCAAGGCGGACTATCCTCGATTTACATGGATTACCATAGTTA